TATCAACTCTCACAGAGCAGATAAAAACTCATGAGTTTGGTTTCTGTTATTCAATCAAAGGGGTACTTCTATGACTTATTATGCCATTTTCATAAAGCTGGGGGATGTTGGAGTGACCCGTTAAAATAAAATGGTCAGAATTATAACTGAAGAGGTAGAGCTATTCTCACTTTTTAGAATGAAAATACTGGATCCTACACTTCACATAAGGCAACTCAGTAGCAGTTTTCTTTTAACCTTACCTGGGAAGTGCAGTTCATAAGAATACAGTTCCTAACATAGGCTTTCTGTTAAAAAAATTAAAGCCCAACACACATTTGTGATAAAAGTCAATACAAATAAACTCCTATTTATTAGAATTACCCTCATTAACACCAGATGTAAAGCCATGCAATGAAGAGATGAACAACTGGATTTATAAATTAGAGTCATGTATTACAGATGAAAGGATAATGTATAACCTGGAGGGACAGCCTGGAGAAGTTTAACAGATTTGTCAACATTTCTGGAGACAGTAGTAGGAGTAGGAGACAGTACTCCTGGTATACTCACATAAATATTGAATCTAACTATCATGTGTGAGTCCGACATGTTTGTTTAATAGTTATTGTTGTTTTATTTGATCCTCCCTCTGCATCTATCGTGTTTGTTTCTCTACTGTTTTTTTTTTATTTTTTCTTTGAATGGGTACATGTTCTGAAGAAATTAATAGTCTGACCTGAAGGGGTGGGTGGGCTGATCAGGCATCTATGTGATTATGTTTTTGTACATTGTGGCTTTATTCAGACCTAGGGCTGTTATACTACAAATCCAATAAAGATAATGTTGAAACATGTAAAGCTCAATCTGAGATAATCCTGTTAAATTTGGATTATTTTTGCAGATTTAAGAAAGCAACACCTATAGAAGACATTTTACAAGTGTTTACCAACCCTGAATAGTAAGTAAACAGATTTTCATGTGAAAAAATTGTGGAGTCCCTTTTTGAGTCTGCAAACATTGACCAGAGAATCCATTCAGCCCAGTCAGAACTGTCCCAAACCACAAGTTAAAACTAATAATTACACTTGAGCAAGCATGTAATAGAACTTAACAGAAGGTATGAGAAGAACTTTCTTGGGCTGCTTTTTTTGCCTCTGCAGAAAATGCCAGAAATGACTAACATGACCTTTGACCTCTCACCTCTACACCCCTCAAGACATTTGACACATACATGTGAGATGAATGAGCCTTTAAAATGATTTTTATCTTAATCCAAATCTTAATGGTTTTCATCTATCGCCACCAGCGGGTCAAAAGTTCCACATATCCAACACTGAAGTTTCTGAGAAGACACCTAAAACTTTAACCAATAGGCCTAATAGCATGCTTACTGTATACATGTTGTCTTAAAGTACTGTTGTGCTACTGCTTAGCCTGTAACATTAAAGAGGCTATAATCAATATTTCTATATTAACAATGGATCCCATGACTGCGTGTGCGACAGGGTTGGCTCGCAGTGACAGACTTTAGCTCTATGAAGCTTTATTGCGTCTTTTAATGGCAATTAATCATGTGTTTTAGTACTGTTTGTGTTAGTTTTATGGCCTGTACAGTTGACTCTTGCCACTCTCGTCTGCTTCGTTACCGGCTGCAGCTAGTGACCAGCTGCTTTCGGCAAAACAACTCTGATAAAGCACTGCACACTGCCTGCCCATCACCAAACAGCACACAGCTAGCTGGTGAACATAGTGGAGCATTTAGCAGCTACAGAGCCAGATACTGTAATTTACTCAGGAGTTACTGGAGGCTAAAAACAGTAAATATTGGACTTAAATTCGCCGGGTGGCTAATGAAAAATGCACTCTGTGTCTGCTGGATGTGTAAAAACACAACTGTTTGCTAACAAGTTCGCCATATCAGTTCCTGTGTTGTGTGTGTAGCTTGTTTGCGCAGCCCCTAAATGGCCAATAAATCAGTTATTGCGCTGCCGTGGAGAAAACAGCACACCCCTAACTGTGTACTCTTGATTATTTCATTTCTTTGGCTTCTTGGTCGTCGTGTGTCCCAGCAGGCAGAGAGCAGCGCGGTCATCTGTCCATCACGAGGCATGTCAGGCCTAGAAGAAATATTTGTTTTAGATGGCATTGTAAATCAGCCATGACATGACAATAGCTGTTATTGAAAGCAAAATGCTTCCCACCCAGCTTTGTATACATTCTGAACCTATAGGTTCCCACTGCTATGTGACCTTTAAGAGCACATGTAAGCCATTCAGACATCTTAACATGATTTATTCCCGAACCAATTGGAGTCAGACAACTAATTAGATCATTAGACAAAGATGCCATTCATAAACATCCTAACTGGAACCAATGAAGAAGAGTTATCTGAATTTCACCAATAGCAGTCTCGGTGATGAGCTCTTCCTGTCAAGTCAGCGCCTTGTTTATATTCGAAGGAGATGGATCCGGCACGACCTCTCAACCCATTTCCTCTGTTGATTTTTTTTTGCTTTTGGGCTTGAGGGAACATGCCCAACCCCCTGCCACAACACAAATACACACACACACACACACACACACACACAGACACGCACTCTACTGGAGGAGGAAGCAAACTTGTCACATGGTTAACAAGCAGTTGCAGAGCAATTTGTTCTCATTAAACAGAGCAAACAGGACCTGCTGTCTGGAGACAAATTTGACATATGTCAAAGTTTTAACAATTAGACGTCTGTAGGAAGCAACTGGTTTGTTTACTTCAGTGTATAGTATTCCATCACAATTAATTGGGTATCCACAGCAACGAATTGGCCAGTTAGTGTCAAAGTCAGACATTTCCATTTGTTTCACTGTCTGTATGCTGAAGCCAGGAAGAAAACGGTGAAGTGACATAAAGACTTTAACCTCTTAAACTCTGACTCACCTACCAGGTACCAATATGTAGCACTTTTCAAACCCTCAGTGATCCTTTTCTCTCCCATACATCTCCAATATTTCTGGCTTAATTTTGGGAAAAGTTTAATGTTTAAGATATAATAAGATATATAAAATATTTTAATTTGATGTATCAGTGCAGCGATAAAAACATGAGGGTTTTGGATTTTAATATTTCCAACAAATATTGTTGGAAAGAGCAGAGAGAGTTGAAAACTTTATTTTAAATACATTTAAAGGAGATTAGGGGAAGTTTAATTATTTTAAAAGGAAGAATTAGATAACACAAACCTGCATCAGAAACAAGGGACATTTTCTCACTCTGATTAACACTGAATATATTTTGAGACATTAAACACACTTTATAGATGTGTATTCAGTTGCTGAATTAACATTTCTGTGCTTAACTGGTGGCTGTAGGCATTCGACAGACCACAAGGTGGCAGCATAATACAACTTTATACGTCTCCCTTCAACGTAGTCTAGTCCAGAGTCTCCTCCAGAGATTGAAGCGTATCAGTTTTTGTTATGCGCATTTGAGTTTTTGAATGACCCAGAAATACCATGAATAGTTGAAAAACCTTTCAGGATATACCGGATTTTCTAACTTTAGAGGCGGAAATAGACCGCACTTGCGCGCCCCTGCAGCCATTACGCACAAACATTCCCTGAATCACAGTTTAGTGAAGATACCGGCAGTTTAAAGAGTGTCACACGGTAAGTGGGCCACACACTGCACGGCCGTAATTACCTTTACGCACGAAAGAGAGCGTGTCAGCCTGCAGTTACAATGTCTGTCCCTCCTCACTGACGACTTCATTATGAGCCTCAGGCCTCTTTACATTGTGGAAAATCCACCTTATTAAGAGTAACCTGAACGCCCCAATTAAAGAATTTGTTGCACGTGTATGACGAAAGTATATGATCTAAAATTGTTGCTGTGCTCAGAATATTTTCTTCCCACGTATTTCAATGATTTTCTTGAACGAAAAGTTCTTGTAACAAGCTGATTAACACTGGAAAAAAGATCTCTCTCGACTTGCACTGATCCACCTGTTTAAAAAGACTTTAAGTAAGAAGTTAATGGACTTCAAAAATAGGATGAGTTAAAATGTGACATAGTTAGCCCAGATTAGGGGTTTAACAGAGGACAAAAGTCAAGAGTTAATAACAAGACTAAAGCGCAGGAGGGCATTAAACTGAGAAGACCACCTGCAGTGCCCCTATAGCCATGCCGATTTTGTTCCCTGCGTGTCACAACATGCAAATCTGCTGCACCAGGGAGGTTTAATAAAGCTTACATATCCCATGTGGCCACCCATGCAAGTCACCATACTTTTAAATAGAAATGAATGAATCCATAACTGTCATTAGGCACAGAGAGATTTTACCCGCTTGTGCGCTCCGCCACCAGTCCACACTATGAAGACAGGGTTTTTAAAGCATGCATGACAACAGCTTTAAAAAACTTTTTTTGAAACCTCACAAAAAAGTTTTGGCGAGAATGACCAGGACGCACGAGGGAAACTGTCAATAAAAGTTGTTTTATTCTCAAAATAAAATCTTCTATCAAAGTGGAAATCATACATATTTACAATTTCGTAAATTTTCATATACAAATATACAATATATGTACAGCAATAATTATATAAATACACTTTACGCGCTAATGCAACCCGTATGAGACAGTATTAAGGCATTGATTGATGTACGTCTAAATCCATCTTGTAAAGAAAAACAGCCGAGCGACGGTCTCATTTCAAGCAGAGCAGTCTCATTGTGAACCTTATGTTTAAGACACAGCGGTTCTTTACAGTAAGGAGTAGGAGGGGAGCCTCAGCTATACCGTGTAACCTATCGACAGGGGGGATCTTGTCAGCTGTACGCATTCAATTAAGCCCAGATAAGACTCTGCATTCTTCGTACCAGGTACATTGTTCTGCTGCTGACAGTCTCATTATTTAAAGAGAAGCCATTAGGCGCTCATTAATGTGCTAATTACAACACGCTGATGGACAATCCCAACACAATTAGTCAACCCACCCCCCTCCCCTACCCAACACCCTCTATTCAAACCAAACTCATCTTTCTAACTTTTGTGAGCAGAATGAAGCAGAAATTACCACAAATTCAAAGAGTTCACATTAGGGGAGTGCTCGTGGCCAAAGTTTCATCTAAACTGGAAGTTTGGGGACTCACCTTGAATCATTTACCAAACTAACCAAATAAATGAGCCTTTGCGCCACTTTGTCCCCAAAAAGAGCTGATATGCGCTGGTTTTTAAGTCTTTAGTGTCAAATGACATAAGATGCATTTGAGCGGGATGTCCCCTGTTCACACCCGCGACAGTGGCATCTGTTTGGGGCAGGAGACCGAGCTGGCAGTCCCGGACCTCCAGGTCAGTCCCGTGCTCACGTCACTGTACATGGAGCCCGCGGAGGCTTTACTCCCCCAGCAGCACCGCGTGCAAAAAGTCCTCCAGGAGTCCAAGGTTTTCCCGGACCAGATCCAGGCCCCTGAAGTGATGCCCACCAGGAGGCACATAAAGTATTTCAACATGAACACAGCGTAGTCCGGCCTTTGCCTGTTCGGGTCCGTCAAGCACGTACAGTTGTGCGTAATTTCCCACGTCTGTCTGTTGTGCTGCTCGTAAAAGTAACACGCCACTATGACAGTGGCTGGGACGGTGTATAGAACTGTGAAAACCCCTATCCGGATCATCAGCCTCTCTAGTTTGTCAGTTTTTGTGCCACCTTGCTTGATAACACTCCTGATCCTGAACAGCGAGACGAACCCGGCCAGCAGAAACATGGTGCCGATGAACAGGTAGATAACCAGCGGCGCCAACACGAAACCTCGCAGGTTATCCAAATTCTGGTTGCCTACGTAGCAAATCCCAGCCACGGAGTCCCCGTCCACAGAGCTCAAAGCCAAAACTGCTATGGATTTCATGCTGGGGATGAGCCAGGCGGCCAAATGAAAGTACTGTGCGTAACTGGCGATGGCCTCGTTCCCCCACTTCATGCCCGCGGCCAGAAACCAAGTGAGTGACAGTATCACCCACCAGATCGAGCTGGCCATGCCGAAGAAGTAAATGAGCAGGAACACGATGGTGCAGAGCGCAGGACCTGTGGTTTCATAGTGGATGTGTTCAGCGCCGTTCTCCCTGTTGCAGGCCACCTCCTCGTGTCCGGCGATCAGCCTGACAATGTATCCAATGGACACAAACATGTAGCAGGCGGAGAGGAATATGATGGGGCGCTCTGGGTACTTGAACCTCTCCATGTCGATTAAAAAAGTCGCCACAGTTGCAAAAGTGGAGATGAAGCACAGGACGGACCACAGACCGATCCAGAAGGCGGTGAAAGTCCTCTCTTCCTGGGTGAAGTAGGGGTTGTGGCAGGGCATGGCGCAGTTCATGATCTGACCCGTCTTGACGCGGTTG